GCTGACACGTAGTGGGGTTGTTAACCATTGTCATAGGGCAATATGTGTACTAACGGTTTAATGAGAAACTATTTTGTTCTGTAAACCTTCATCTAAAGTGAGAATAGCAGCAAAATTGGAAGAATGTAATCGATGTCACTGAATTGTACATGTCAAAATTTCTGAAATGGTGTATCTTTGGCTATGTATATTTTCACCAAAAAAAAGTCCTCCAAGGGTCGAGAAGGGAGAGTGTTGACATGTTGTGGGGTTGTTAACCAATGTCATAAAACAATATGTGTACTGTTTAATGAGAAACTATTCGTTCTGTAAACCTTCACCTAAAGTACAATAAAAAATTTTTTTTTAAAAAAGAATACAGCCTAGAAAACCCTATGGGCAGTTCTACTCTGTCCTATAGAGTCACTATGAGTTGGGGTTGACTCGATGGCACACAACAACTTTCTTCCTAAAACAGAAAAAGTATAAAATGGGACGTTTAGAGAGAAGATAGCCTTTATATGAATCCCTCTCCTATATACATGTGAATCCCTGGTGGCATAGTGGTTAAGAGCTACAGCTGCTAACCAAAAGCTGAGCAGTTCAAACCCCTGGGTGCTGCTTGGAAACCCTATGGAGCAGTTCTATTCTGTCCTACAGGGTGACTATGAGTTGAAATTGACTTGACAGCAACGGGTTTGGTATTTTTTTGGTTTTCTCCTATATATGAGGCAATTTGCTCTATGCAATGTTAAAATGTAGGATAAAGCTACAATAATCAAAGCAGTGTAGAAAAGATGAGGACTAGCATATAGATTAAAGAAACAGACTTGTCCAAATTTGTATATAAAAGTGATACCACAAATCAGAATAAGTAGCTCATTTTTAAAAAGGTGTGGGGACAAATGGTTAACTATGTAGAAAACGACGAAGTTAAATTCTCACCTCGCACCAAAAAAAATTCTATCTAGACTAAGAGCCAACTGTAAAACATAACAAGCAACATATTAATTAATATTTGCTGTAGTACTGGTGACACCCTTATACACTGCTGATAGTAATCTAAATTGGTTCAACTTTCAGCAATGTCAGAACACTTTGACCCAGTCATCTCACTTGTAGGAATCTAGCCTAATGAAATAATCATAGATGGGCACAAAGTTGATTTAAGTATGTTCAACACAGTGTAATTGGTAATAGTGAAAAAAACCAAAACAGTAGAAGAATGGTTAAATAAACTATCATGCAAATGAACATGATGAAACATATTTTTGATGAATACGTGTGATACGAGAAAATTGCTCAAAATACTAAGGGAAGAAAAAACAGGATACATTATTACAGTCTGAGCTTCTGAAAAAAAGATACATCCACATGTATGGTCAAATATTTTCTTAAAATGCTGAAAGGAAATCAAATACTTTACAGTGATTATCTCTAAGGGGTGTGGGTTTAAAAATGTTTTCTTCGTGCTTTATATTTCTTTCACGTTTTCTATAATAAGCATATTAATAATCCTAGAACCCATCAATATTATTTATAAAAATATATAATATAAAAAGGTCATGCTTCAGATTTCTAAACAAGGGAATATGGAAAGAGCTAAAAAGAACAGAATTGGGAGGAGGAACTGACATATCACTGCTCTCTTCAGAAAAGAGAGATTGGAAATTGAGCAGAGTCGACGTGCAGAAGTGATTCGTGTGAGCAACAGGACTTTTTAGTCTACCTTCTGGTCCTCAAACAGATTGCATACAATTCTCTAAATCCTTTTATTCAAAACAAGAGGCGCTCAGATCTACCCAGTCTTTTTAGGCAGTCTTAAAACCTGAACTTATAGTTCGGGAATCCAGGCTGTTTACAATTCAACATGTTTGTATTGAACTGAAGTGAATGCACCCACAAAAAAGGATCAATCATTTGTTGTCATTCAACATTCAATATCCTCCATTTTAACAAGATTGGTACCTGGCTTGAACAAGGCCTACATGTGGTCCTTCTGTTCCAATTCCCAACATCAGAGCCACTTTCCCAACAAAGTTCTTCTGTAAATTAAACCGACGCTGCCCAATATTAAAACTCCCATCGATTAGAAATGCAATGTCTGCTCTGCAATCTGTGAACATCCAAACAAGTACTTTCTGTTAGCAGTCTTACTTAACAAACAGAGAATGAGAGAGAGAAAGCCATTTTCCCAAACTGGTATCTTGACTCTTACCTTTATTGCCAGCTTTCTTCTCAGGTGTTTTCTTTAGTCGTTTACCTGAAACAAAGGAAGCACCTGGCATTCACACAAGGAAGACAATCCCACATCAAAAAGCCCATATGGGAAAAGCCCATGACAAGGAGGGTCATTACTGAAAAGACTTTACATTTCTTCATGATTTTCTGGACTAGAGAAGCAACGGTTCAGCAAAGAAACAAGTAAACACCATAGTGGCCCTACATATTTGAAATGGCTCCAATCCAGGACTTTGAGATCACAAATCCATAGTTGAGGCAGGGCTGGAAACAAGAGTTTGAGCCTGATGTTCTTAGTTCCTTTGACTTTAAAACCATCAGGGTTTTAGAAAAGGGGATCCCTGGTTATCAAAGCAGACATACACTGATTCCTTTTATTCATATGACAGAGCAGTAACTAAGGGAATTTAATGAAGCAGATTGAACTATGAAGTTCATGGTACTATGGATCAGTTCCTGAGTGTGGTTTATCAAATCAGGGAGAAGCGGTAGGACTTGAAGAGAATGCCTGTATCAGGGTTCATAACTGAAAATATAAGAGGAAAGAATTTGAAATATAAAATTGTACATTTCCCTATATAATATACCAGTAAGCTTAAGGTATTTGCTTTCTCTTTTTTTAAATTTTATTTTAAGGAGAGTCTCCAAACTTCCAAACACTGTGCCAGGCAACTAGGAGATAGGTTCCATATTCCATACCTGATGGTGGATGTGCTGTGGATACTGCTCGTCCCGTGGCTTCCTGGGAACCACTTTTGCCTTCTGTTAAAATAAAGAGATACCTGTTTTTTCCTCTTCCCCCACCAGCAAAGCATAGTTAATATAATTTAGGGTCCTATAGGATGATGGAGGAGCCCTGGTGGTGGAGTGGTTAAGCACTCTCTGCGAACTGAAAGGTTGGCAGTTCAAACCAACCAGCCGCTGTGCAGGAGAAAGATGTGGCAGTCTGCTACCATAAAGATTACAGCCTTGGAAACACTATGGGGCAGTTCTACTCTGTCCCATAGGGTCACTATGCATTGGAATCGACTCGATGGCAACGATGTTGAATATAATAGGGTGCTGGTGATTGCAGGAGTCAATATGCTGCATGCTAGTTTCAGAGAACTAAAATGTGACTCTTCTCTATTATCTCCTTTTTACAAAGGATCACCAAAAATGAATCCTCTAACTTTTTGGTTTAGTGTTACTAGGTAAGTGTCAGGGCAGTCTGACTGCAGACAATTGAAGTTTCTATGGCTGTCTTCAGACAGCAAGACTGTTCTCCCCCCATTCACCCAAATTTGGCTTGAGTGGGTACTTGACTCTAACCCACAGTTGACCTCTTCAGTCCTGATCACAGGTTTTTCCATCAGAGTCAAAGAGGCTGGGTGAAGAAATGCAGAAAACTTTTATTTGGGGGAGGTGGATATTTACACAAAAGAAAGAACGATGTAATTGTACCTACTAGTTACCGTGAAAGAAGCAGACCATCTGGGAAGTGTTTGAGACTGGATGCCATTGGCCACAACTGAGGAATAGTTTTCTCGACCTGGTAGGCTATACACTCGCACAGGTCCCCCTGAGTTGCTGATTACTCCCCTGCAACACAAGAATAATGGCCGAGATTCTCTCCACACTCTTCAGGGGCACCCAACTGGCTTATAGAGCCATGTCGCATCTACTGCTCTGATTAATCAACAAAATAGTTCAGCTGGGAAGTCGGCTGAGGATGCCAGCCTTTTAAAAGCTTGCTTACACTGGAACAAAACTGCCTGGGGGAATGGTTTTGTGCTGTCAAATTTCTTAAGTGTTGATAAGAACACACTTGTAGCATACAAGTAACTATCCTGTTCCCTACAACTCAGAGATTCAGAGTTACTAAAAGAGCTCCAAACAATTTTCCTAGTTTTCTAAACTACTCACTTTAACTACATGTCCTTGGACTTCATTTAAAAAAAAAAAAAGGGTTATACTGGCCATTCTATGGCAGCATAGCACAGTGGTGATGAATATGGGCTTTGGAGGCAGACCTGGGCTCTCAGACCCATCTGTGGAACTTCCTAATAACAGTGACCTTGAGAAAGGTATTTAACATCTCTCTGAAGTTCAGTTTCCTCATCTGTAAAATGGGGTAAAACTGTACTTACCTTGTGTGTTGTCGTGAGAGTTAAAACAATGGCTGGCACATAGTAAGAACTCAGTGATACATTACATGATTGGAAACGTTTTAGAATCATAGGAATCTAGCCCTTGAGAAGTAACTCAATTTGCCTTTAGTCAGAAAGCTTCCCTTGTTTACCTGGTGTTTCAAGGATACCCTGAAAAACCTTAGAAATGTTTTCTGTCTTCTGTGGTCAAAACTGGCACCAAAAGAAAGAAAAGAGGGTGATGTCCAGGATGGCTAAAGCAGAAAATGATCACACTTGCATTTCTCTCCCCTTGGCGTATTTGGTCTTACCTGTGGATAGCCGCGCCACAGATGCTTGATAGAGACGCATATACTATGTTCCCAAACACAGAGAATTCCTCAAGAGAGCAGCTCCCTGGGCAGAGGACATCTGCTTTCTCTTTCCTGATGTCCAGGCCTCTGGTAAAGCATGTGATAGCTATGGGAACTGAATAGAGAGAGGAGTGTAATAAGCATTCTTAGGACTTTTCTTGCGGGGTGATGGTGGTGAGGAACTAGGGTATGAGACTCAAGTTTTACCTCCCTCATTTCTACACTTCTGGCTAAGAATATTGACTCATAGTAGATTTTAGCAAGCCAAAAGTCAGTTTTCCAATTTAATCTAGTCCCTAGCCACTATAAATGTTTTAACAGTTTGGAAATACATCGTTGAAATTATATCAGAACTAGAAAAGTAGCACTAGTTATTAACCACTTACTCGTTTGTTTAAGAAATATAAAAATCTCAACTCTGATGATACTGCATATAGGTGCAGATGCCACATCTGGACTGACTCTCTGAGGAACATTTCATAGACACACACACAAACCTCTCTAAGCCATCCTTTACTTCACAGGACCATTTATCCTAGTTATCTCCTCCAAACAAACACACACACACAAAACCAAAACCGTTGCCATCCAGGTGATTCCAACTCTTAGCAACCCTATAGGACAGAGTAGAACTGCCTCATACGGTTTCCAAGGAGAGTCTGGTGGATTCGAACTACCGACCTTTTAGTTAGCAGCCCTAGCTCTTAAACACTATACCACCAGTACCTGAAAATTACATGTTAATTTTGGCAAACCAATAAAAAGATGCCTAGATTCTCAAAACGTCATTTAGCTCGACCACACATTTTACAGAGGAGGAAATTAAAGCCATTGGGTTAATTTGCCCAAGTTGACACAGCCCAGGGAGCCTTCTGTAAGTCCAGTGGGACCAGAAACCAAGAAGTTAGTCCTTTCAGAATGGAGCATTTTTATCCTAATTGAACCTATTTCTGCTCCGGATCTGTCCAGAGAGATATATCAGCCTTTTAGAAAGCACCGTTAATACTCTCAAGTTTCACAGAGTTAACCCAAGAAAGAAAATTTTTACTACAAAAGATGCTGGTTGGAGTGACAAGCCCTTGGCAACATGTAACAAAATAACATAATACATAGTTAATTCATCAACTTACTGTCAATTTTAAATTGGGACTGTTATTAAGTGGCATAGCAGTTAAGAGCTATGGCTGTTAACCAAAAGATTGGCAGTTTGAATCCATCCACCAAGTGCTCCTTGGAAACCATATGGGGGAAGTTCGACTCTGTCCTACAGGATCACTACGAGTTGGAATCGACTAGAGGGCAATAGATTTTTTTTTTAATGTTATTAAATACTATTTTCCAAACAGGAAATTTTGGTTATCCAAAACCTTTTTGAAATCCAAACCAAACCAAACCCACTGCTGTCGAGTTCATTCTGACTCATAGCGACCCTACAGGACAGAATAGAACTGCCCCGTAGGGTTTCCAAGGCTGTAAATCTTTATGAAAGCAGACTGCCACATCTTTCTCCCCAAGAGCAGCTGGTGGGTTCCAACCGCCAATCTTTCAGTTTGCAGCCCAGCGCTTTAACCACTGTGACACCAGGGCTCCTTTTTTAAAACAGATGTTATTTTTTTTCCCCCTAAGACAGAATAAAACTGTCCGGTCACATAGCCCAACTGAGTAGCCTGCCTCTAACAAGGACCTTCTTCTAAGAGCTGGCTGTGTCCTTTGTGTTGAGCTGTGTCCCGAACTGTGCATGTCCATGAAAAGTAAGGCAGCACGCCAAGTACAATACCAATTCCTTAGCTCAGAAACATTCCAGAGAGCCGGGGAAGTTAAAACTCTTGCCAAAAACAGTAGCTACGGCAATCCTACCTATTGTCAAATAGCCTTAATCCTTCCTCCCAATTTCGGCTGACGTAGGATCCACGGTGGAAGTCGGTGGTGCACAGACTGCCTTTAGCTGCCGACATTGACTTCAGCAAGGGTGAGAGCGGACGAATACAGCCCAATGCAATACTTGTCAACACTGACTTCAGCGCAGGTGGGAGTGGGCGAATGCAGCCCAGTGCAATACTTACCCTCATTCCCAAGAAAACAAACAACTGATTTTAGAAAAGTGTTTGCCTTTTAAATTATAGAAAATACACCGCACCACGAACCCATACCGGGACTCTACACGTGGAACAAACTCTTCTAGATTTTCTCGCATACGAAATGAGCCACAAAGGCTGTTTTTTACGGGGATTACTCCTAGAAACATAGCCAGTGGGTCAAACAAGGTGGGACAACGAAGTTAGCTTCTTTCTCTCGAGGCTGTGACAGTCTTAAGTCGGATCTAGGGGGGCCTCCCCGACCCCAAACGCAGCAGAACCGCCTAGGACTACTGTGCCCCTCGGTGAGGCTCAGCGATTATCCCTAGATCATTTCTTCTCCCGGCCTTGGGAAGAACGGCCCCATCCGACCCCAGAGTCCCCTGGCATGGGAGACACGGGTAACCCAGCGTCGAGTAAATCGCACAGGGCGGCTGCACCGCGGAATGTGGGCGCGCCAGGCAACTGCTCCAAATCTCGCACCCTCCACCTCCGGTCCAGGGGCTCGATCTGAGCGCGTTGCTACCTGCTGGTTCTTAGCCCCTTCCACCGCCTGGACCGAACCCTGCTTCTTCGGCCCCGAAACGAGGAACTCACCGGCTCCCTCGCTGCCCGCGGGCTTGGGCAACAACAGGCAGACACCTGCGAAGAGAGGAAAGCGCGAGGTTGGCTCCAGCCTCCACCCGGCTCGGCGCGACGAGAAACGGGGCGGTGAGGGGCGCGTACTCACCGAGGCAGAGAACTGGGATCCAGGCTGCAGACATGGTGGTCGAAGGGCTGCTTGGACCTGAGAGACAGTGAGAACGCGAAGGAAGCTCCCGGGGATCGAAGGCCCCCACGCACCTACCCAGCCGCGCCCGCCCTCCCGTCCGCTCGCCCACTCCTTAGAGATCCCGCACTCCTCGGAAACCCAGGGGCGGCCGGGAGGAGGGAAGAAACCAAAGGGGCTACCGCTCCGGGGCCAGCGCCCCTCTCGATCTGGGGACGACGCTCCGGCTGCAAATTGAGCTAAACCCAGAACTGATGTACAACCCTGCACTGGGGGTGGGGTGGGGTGGAGTGGCAGAGACAATATGAAGACAGAAGAACTGGGAGAGACAAAGGAAAGACACAGACAGACGGACATACAGACGTCAGGAATCTATCTGCACTCCCGCTCCGAACATCCAGTGCTCTGCACCTGCGTCGGATCCGCCCCGATGCGCTCGAGTGCTGAAAGCCCGGCTCCCGCGGCCGCTATAAAGGCTGGGCCGCGCGCATGGGCACTGTGCTGGGGGCACGCGGGGAGGGGGCTGGGAGTGGGTCCCCCCGGGCAGGCGGCAGCGGTCCAGCTCCCGCCCTCAACACCCCCACCCCGCCCCAGGACTCGCCCGGGGTGAGGCCGGCACAAAGGCGCCTCCCCCTGCGGCGCGGGGTTCGGCCACCTGGACGCGGCGTCGGTCCCTAGGGGCGGCGCGAAGGCCTTGGTCTAAGGCTGGGGGGTCCGGCGGGACCCGCGTCAGCGACGCTGGGACCAGTGTAGGAGGACGGCTGGAAACGCGCCTGGGGATGCGTCAGGGATGCGAGGAAGACGCGCCCGGTGAGACCCGAGCCCACCGCGCAGGGCGCGCCGGCTAAACTGCGCTCTGGGCGGGGCAGGCAGCCCGACGTGATGCGACCCCGCCAGGCTCCCGGCGCCCGCCGCTGTCCCCACCCCGAGCTGGGGAGTAATCGACCCCCAAGCACAGTCCCAACGGTCGGAGCAGTGGCTCTCGCCGTCAACCTCGGCTCTACCTCGGCCCAGGCAGGTCACGCAGGGCCCCAGGAGAATTACCAACCTGTTGGTCCACGCGGCCTAAGAACAAAACTTCCGAACTTCATGCTCCCATTGAAACAGTTCCTACCTCTAAAGTAACGCCAACGCAGATTTTTGTGAATGCATGCCCTGTTTTTCTTAGAAACCCCATGAACTGATGGGTTATTCTTTGGACTTTAGGCATCTGGCCTTCGACTTGGCTTCTGCTGGAACAGATTCTCCCCAAAGAGCTCCATTTCCTGTAAAGGCTGGGGCTGCGAATGCGAGGTGGCCCAGACTCCCTGGTGGCAGTTACATTTGCATTTTACTCTTCTTTTCTAGTTCAGGAATGGTTATGTCTGGTTGCCATTCCAAACTCCAAGACCTGCTGCCTATTGTGATCCTGCAGAATCTCAGATTTGGTAATTTTTTTCCTTGTCTTTCTGGCTGTCATCCAAACCTTACACAGGTTGAAATGGGAAAAAGCTGAATTCACAGGAGTGTAAGTTACAAAGGACAGCATGACAGCTGAGGAGTCAACCCTCAGATCATGAGAGGTGGCATAATATATGTATATTTTAAAAGGCTTTAGTTATAATTTACATACCATGAAATTCACCCATTTTAAGTGTACAATTCAATGACATTTAGTAAATTTAGAGAGTTTTGCAACCATCACTACAACCCAATTTTTGAACATTTCTATCACTCCCTCCCCCCCAAAAAAAGAAGATCCCTCCCAGCTATTAGCAATCTGTTTCCACTCCCAGCCCTAACCCAAACTAAAACTGTTGGGGTAGAGTCGATTCTGACTCCTAGGCAACCACTAATCTACTTTCTGTCTATAGATTTGCCTTTTATGGACGTTTAATATAAATGGAATCATACAGTATGTGGTCTTTTGCCATCTTTCAGCTGGCATAATGTTTCAAGATTCATCCATGTTGTAGCACATATATATAGTGTATCTATCTATCTATCTATCTATCTATCTATCTATCTATCTATCTATCTATCTATCTATATAGCACGTATGTATAGTACTTCCATCCTTTTTATTGCTGGATAATATTTCCATGTTGTTTTACTACAGGGCACAAACATACCACCATGTCTTGGAAGCTAATTGTTGTAGGCTTGCAACCATCCTCTTGATTGAGAATAACTTAGTGTTTACACCAGACCACCCAGGGGTATTAATTTCATTCCCTTTACTATCTGCATGCCTTCTGGAGGGAAAGAGACTAAATAAGTACCATTTGTGGGCTGGGAGGTTTTTGAGGCTTATTGTCACAGCTGCTTTGGAGATTTAATCCCTTACATGGTAGAGTTGTCCTTTTCTTAGAAATTCAGTCATTTAGCCACCACCTCTGATATTTTCTTTGGGAGAGATTTCAAGTCTTCAGGATGATTCAGGCTGTCTTTTTCATTATTGTTTCTCCAGTGTCCTCAGTCAGGGTTAATGACCTCCTCCAGTTAGGCCAGGTGAATTGTCATGATGCTGTATAATTAGGGAGAGCTCACATCCTGCAAAAATGCTGCCATTCCACAGATTGGCAGGCCAGGTGCCCAAATGGCCAGTGGGTGCTTGCTATTCAGAGCTCCCACAGGGTGCAGCCTTCCTGTAATGTAGTATTACTGGAAGATTTGGCAGAATCAAAACTATGCAGCTATGTTCATGATAGATCCTGAGTCTGTCACCATTAAAAATAAAGGAAATAGCTCATTGAGTTTCATGGTTGTTTATCCAAAGATACATTTTATTATTTTGTTTTGAAACATTTAAGACAAGTTATTATTATTTTTTCTTTCCTTTTTGGAATGGCCAAATAAGGAGGGTGAAGTGGGGAGAATGGGATTTGTCATTCTCAGTTTGTACCTCATTCTCACCATGAGGATACTGAGGAAAAAAATCTGGATTTAAGAGATAATTGCTTCTGCTATAGAAATATTCTGAAGAAGGGAGGGAACATCAAAGAAATCTGGGTGCTTTTGACTTAAAAGACAAACTGTTAAAATTATAGTTTTGCATTCAGCTGGGTGACATATTAGAGTATTGTGCTCCTAGATGCCTGATCGTTTTATCCTGCTTTAATTAAGAGTGTTTGGTATTAAGAATTTAGACTAACTCTGTGTGCAGCAGTGAAGCCAAACTGGGCTGCACGTTGGAATCAGCTGGGGAGCTTTAAAAAGTACCCATGCCTGGGTCCCACCCCAGGGATTCTGGTGTGTAATTGCTCTGGGATGGTGCCAGGACAGTCAAAAGTTTTAAGGGCTCTCCGGGTGATTCTAATGTGCAGCCCAGGACCCATAGTACTTAGTTCAATGTTAGAGGTTAAACTAGTAACTCCAATTTTTCATTCTTCTTTCATTATCTTTTCATTAAATTTTTGCCTTAAATTTGCTTCCTGTGTCCCCCTGATAAAACATGGAAGCATCTTCTGGCCTGATGGTCTGTTTAAAAACAAGTCCCCAACAGAAAGGTTGAAAACTCAATTACAAAAGTAATTTTCCCTGAGTGTGCTGTCTGTTAGCATTTCTAACTTTGTGCAGAATGGGCTGACGTTGTTAAGGGAGTGAGCTGGTGTGCTGCCTCTAAAACTGATACCCTTGGTGGCATCTCTGTTAGAAGTCCTAACAGATTTCTCAAGAATAGCATGGTTGGTTATCTGGCTGGATTTGGAACATTATCTACATAGATAAGCTCTTAGTTTATAGGTCCCTTCTCTGTTCTGTTTTTACCAAAATGTGGATCTGTTTTTGTTTTATTTTTTGTTGTTTTTTATTTTTATTTTAAGGAACATCAGTTCTGTTGTATCCCTATACCATTTAAACTCTCCTGTAAACTCTTACTTAGCTAATGCAATACATAGTAACTTGGTTTTATTTCAGTTAATGGTGACCTTAAAGCAAGCCTGTTCACTTTTAGGAAGTGTAGGTTTATCCTGCAGTATCCCATAAGTTTCTATGATTGACTATAGAACAAAACCAACTTGGAAACTCCTATCACCTTCATTATTGAGCCCACATTAATGGTTATTCTCTTTCTAGTTCTCCTTATTCTTTTCCGTTTTTCACATCTTATGCTAAGCAAGTATGTACATCTAACCTTTCCGTTTCTGATAATATCTGGCAGCAGAATAAATGTTCACATCTGCTGAGAAATGAATATTAAAAAGTTGGTTCAGAGATAGCCCAGTGACCACTGGCTGACCAATTTCCTTTTCTGGAACTCAGTTTCCTCTTTTATTAGGTGAAGGGGATTGAACCAAGTGATCAGAAAGGACCTTGTCCCTGGGTATATATAGGCTGCAGGGGCTGTGCCATCATCAGGACTTTGAGAGGTTGGTAGGAATGCCAGCTGACTCCAAACTGCTTCAGGACCCAGATATATGCACGTCCTTTCTTATGCAAAGTCTTTCCATTCACCTCTCCTGGCTAAACTGTGGCCTGCATCGTGTTTGCCAGTTTATTTAACAAGGTGATGGGGGTCACATTGTCACTGGAATACCATTAGAATATCCCTACTGAGGGAGAAAAGCTGGGACAGGGGACATAAATAATTTCTACAAGGCTCAGCACACACACACATCCCTTGTAAGCTTCGCATGCACAAGGCTCTTTCTGCTTAGTTCATTGCTGTACCCCTAGCCCAGAAAAGTGTTTAGCACATAATTGGTACTCAATATATATATGCTGAATGAATGAATCAGTCCAATTCTGTCTTGGTTGCCACCTTTATTGCTGGTTTTTTTTTTTTTAATTTTAGAACAGTATTTAGAAAAAAATTTAGAAAGGTAGTATAGAGAGCTCCCATAATACCCACATCCAGTTTCCTCTATTAACGTCTTACATTAGTATGGTACGTTTGTACAATTAATAAATCAATATTAATACATGATTAAGTACAGTCCATACTTTATTCAGCTTTCCTTAGTCTCTACCTAATGTCTTTGTTCCAGGATCCCATCTAGGATATCACATTACATT